AAAAAAAAAATGTTTAAAATGAATATAAAACAGCACACACACATACACACAACCATACTGACCAATTGAAAATAAAGACCAGCTACAAGAAACATGTCATCAGGGATTGAGCTAACGGCTTTAGCCTGAAAGCTAAGGGAAGAAGGGAAATGTGATGGCTTCCCAGTTACAAAAGAAAAAGATACAGGTTTGTCTTTTAAAGACAAACTTTTTCCTCATATTGGATTTAAGGTAGAATGTGTGTCATGGTTCCTTATGCAAGTGGCACGCAGCACAATGCTTATATAAGGGATTTCTATATGGGACACAATGTCTCCAATTACAGTTTTGCAAAAGACGCAGGTAAGACATGCTGTGGACAACAGACAGTGGGGTAGAGCTCTAATTCTGGGACGAAAGCTTGAGTGTTCTTCTTGCATTTTCACCTAGGCAGAAGCCAACCTGTTCCTCCACAGGCACAGGCCATGGACATGGTTGGGGAAAACATTAATGTTCATGCTAGAAAAGGAAGCTTTGGATTCTTCTTAAAAGATCAGCATCTACTGTGTCAGGTACAGATCCAGACATTTCATAAAGTGTATCATGAAGCAATACGCTGCACTGACAAGATGATAGACTTGTAGTCGGAACTGGATCCTTTCCAGTGTGACTGTGAATAAATTCCTTAAATATTTTTGGGCCTCAGTTTCCACATCTGTAACATAAGGTCAGTATCATCTATCTTAAGGGGCCATTGTAAGGGTAAAAATGAGAGGAAAAAAATGTTCAAAAGGTATATAGCTCACTACCCAGGAAATGAATGCTGAGTCTCTTTCTCCATCCCTGTTTGCCCATAGAATCCTGAAATCCTATGCAATTAGGATTGGACAGACACAGATGCTGAACTTGAGAAAGGCGAGGTGATCTGTACTGGACGATGCAGGTGGTAGTACCAGAGCCATGGTTTAAAATCAGGACAGTCTCTTTTCAGATCTGACACTCTTCTCACCTAACCATCTATTTCCTTGAGACTCTCAAGTCTATTATCATTTGAAGAGAAAGCGACCATTTCCACTCCAGCAATTCAAGCCTCAGTCATCCCTGGAAAAAGGGGCCAAAGCCTTGAGCAAGGCACTCACCTGACCAAAGGTGGAGTCCATCAAAGCCATAGGAGTACAGGTCATCACCAACGCCGTTGCCTCCCCACCCTTCTCCGCCTCCGGGGTATGGAGCATAGCCTGACGAAGAGGCCCAGCCCACCCGCAGGTGTGTGGGCTCTGCCATTAGAAAGGGCTCCACCTGGTCAATAATGAGCTCGAAGTACCACTTCTTATACTGCGCTGAGCCTTCAGCAACTCCCAGGAAGACATTTGGCCGAACACTGAAATTAAACATGGGACAGGACGCATTTATAAACTCTTAAGAATGGAGAAAGCAAATTGAACCAGACCATGAAGCATTGGCCCAGTGAAACCCAATTGCAAGAGCCATTTTGTGTTTTTTTGTATTGTTCTAAAGTATGAAAAGTTTTGAGCATCCTTTGAACACTTGATCAAGTTCTTAGTGGGAGGTGTTAGAACAACATTAATTCCATTGTAAAATGTAAAGGATCTCTCTCTATTTAAATGTTCCATTCAAGGCAACCAACATTTACAGAGTGGCAGCCACAGGTAAAGGTGTTCAAAACGTCATGTAGAATTGCGTGCTTACAAACTCTTGTTTCTTATTGTAAGTGAAAGAAATGACTTACTCATTTGGTAAATTGGCTTAATCACCCCCATTTTCACATCAGCAGCTTTGTCACCCAAGCATTATTAATAACAATGGCCTCTTGAAAGCATTAAAAAGTCACATTAGAAATAAGCCGGTTAGAGAGGACAAATAATGTATGGTATCACTTATATGTGGAATCAAAAAAAAAAAAAAAGTTTGACTCATAGAAACAGAGTAGGAAAGTGGTTGCCAGGGACTGGGAGGGGGGAATTGTTGGAAATAGAGGTTGGTAAAAGGGTACATACAATCTTTCAGATATAAGATGAATAAGGTCTGAGGAAGGATCTAATGTTAAAACATGGTGACTACATTTCATAATTGAAATTTGCTAAGAGAGAATTAAATGTTCCCATCAAAAAAAAAAAAAAAAACGAAAAAGGTAAACAAGTGAGGTGATGACTGTCTTAATTAACTCTGGGGAACATTCTTTCACAATATGTATGTATATCAAATCATCATGTTATACACTTCAAACATTTTACCATATTGTTGGTCAATTTTATTTCGATAAAGCTGAAAACAATAAAATTCAACCTAAATGACAGGAAAAAGTAAGAAAAAAGAAGTTACCCTTAGGCAACCTTGAGGGCTGGAGGTTTTAATGTATCCTACAAAATGGTTAAGAGCTTGGGACAAAACGCTTGGAGTTTTCCTGAGAGGTCTACTATTCTGGGTGGGGGCAATGTCCCATTTTGGGTGGGCAGGAAAAAACCAGGCTGGTACCCAAAAGAGAAATGTTTGTATGGATGGCTCAGGTCTGCCGGCTGCTCTCGCCTTCAGAGGGGAGGTTCTTCTCTCACCATTGTAGATTAGGAAGTGGGTCTAGGTGGAAAGTTGCTGAAGAACCTTAGGCCCGCCGAGTCCAGGCTCAGTGAGTTCACGACTCAGATGTGGCTACATGAATGGACCAGCAGCCTAGGGCTCCGCCTGGGCCCGCCCTTTTCACTCTGACCTTCACAGATATTCCTGGGCAGATGGCCATGTGCCAGAGGATGCAAGAAACCGCAGTATCAACATGGGACATCCATTCTATGAGAGGTTTTTAAGAAAAAAGTTGGTGTATCAAAATAAAAAAGGTGTACGATATGAAGAAGGTACAAGATCTGCATTAATGTTTGAAATAAAACACGGTACATTCTTCAGTCCTCAGGTGGGTGCATGTGCTCCACCATTGGCCACTTCAGGAAAAAGGGTTGAGAAACTCTGCTGAAGGAGTTGGCGTACAAGGCCCTAAAAATGCACACATTTGCCTGCTTTTGTCTTATGGGCCCAAATCATCACGGACATGATGGGTGGGTGGCTTTGGAGTTCAGATCAGCCCTCTTCCTTCCCTGTCTGGAGACAAGATGGCCATTTTGGAATAACGGTGGTGGCCTTACCTTGTCACGTCGTTAATCAGCCGTGTCTGCAGGAGCAGGTTTCTCCGGGGAAGCAAGTTGTCACAGATCAGGTTCTGGTTGGCTCTCACGGCGACCCCATTGCAGAGACAGAGGGAGCACAGCACATCTAGAACCTGCAGCAGGGGACACCCGCAAACCTCAGGCCCACCAGCAGGGCAGTGTGGGCATGACCTGTCTGATGAGACACATGAAGAAAGAAGGCCTTGTGCAGGGTCGGGGCTAGGTGACAGGTGAGAGGACCTGCTCAGCATCAAGGAAGCCTCACTCCATCACCAGGCCTGTGCGAGCGATGCCCCAGGGAGTTCTGCCTCTTGGGGAAATGAGGCTGGGCTTCCCTGCAGCCCTTCTGCCTCCGTCTGGTGCTCCTTTCCTCCAAACCATGCAGGTCACCTGTGGTTACTATTGTTTAAAGTGGGTAAAGAGACTGGGCCCTGATTACGAACTGCCTAGGTTAATATCCCACCCAGGGACCAAACTAGGATGAGGCGAGGCATCAGGTGTACAAAATCCAGGCACCATTCCCTCCAGGAGTTGTGCACGAGAAGAGGTGTGAGCGGAAGGCTTCCCACTGACCCCAAACTGAAGCCCGTGCTCCCGCTGGGCCTGGACAGCCCTCTGCACCACCACCAGCAGGGACTCATACAGCTCTTCACAGAAGGCTCTCGAGTCCCACTCAGCTTAGGTCCCTGGCATGCGGCAGGCTTGTGAGCGTCATGTGGGCGGGATAGAGGTGATAGTAGGGCAGATTCCGGTCTGTGGGTCTCTCACTGTGAGATCATCAAAACCCACTAAGATACCCTTATGATCCTAAAAATCTGTGTTCAAAAACATTTTACCTGCTCGCCTTCTCCCCTCTAGAGTGAGGGCAGACTTGCAAAGGCACAGGTGGCCCCTGAATGTATGAGACTAGCCACCAAGCCATTTATGTTTCTTTTTGTTTCCTGGCTGCCTGGGAAGTGGGAACAGCCCCGCCGCCTCCACCATACGCTGGCCTCTCGTCCACTCTGTCTCCTTGTGCAGCGTCCTCTTTCATTCAGAATTTGTGCTGCTATTATGACTGGGCCAGGCACTGCTGCTCCCTCTCTCCCCAACGGGAGGAATGTGCGAACAGCAGTAGATAAGTAACAGCCAGGGCTGTGGCCGGCAGTGCCGACAGGGAGGGGGTGGCTGCCTTTCAGTCTCTCCAAGTGACCACTGAAGACTCAGTGCTTAGTGGGGTTGGATGGCTGCAGGTTATTGGTGGCATCTGTATCCATCATTCTCACAAACCAATTTTCTACCCGACTTTCTGAGTGTCAATTTTGTTCTAGATACACACAAAGCACATTTATGGGACAAGCAGAAAAGAATCCCAAAGGTGGTTTTATGGACTCTTACCATCACCACTGCGTGAAACATATGGGCAGTGGGGCTGGAAATCCAGAGGGTAATTTCTCACTCTGAGAAAAACCCCATAGATGACCAGGAAATTAAATATATAATACTTATCCAGCCTACCACATGCTTTCATCTGTTTTGCCTTGGAGTGACAGCCACAGAGCCTTGCTGTCACAGCCTGAGGAAGAGCAGAGCTTAATCCACATACAATAGGACCCACAAATGGAAAAAGGGCTCTGTGAAAAACATACAGCCTAACAGAGTGGTGCCTCACCTATAAGTAAATGGTGCCGTAGAGAACTGTGGCTGACATAGTTTAGGCTGTGCGTTAGAAGGCATATCTGTGGGTAAAATGGGGAATGGAGACACACTTCCTTTTCTAAATAAGTTTAACTGGGTTCTACTAAAATTGAAAGGAGTGTAAAGACGGTCAGGCCACCAGGGGGGCACCTGTAGGTCATCTGTACTTTCTGATGGAGAGGGACCATCTCAGCAACCTCTGGGAAGTGTGCCTTGCTATGGCAGGTACTGCTAAGCGGCCACCAGACACTGTTTCCTTCTCATCCTGAGCACATAAGAGGCTACATTCCCCAGCCTCCCCTGCAGTTATGTGAGGTCATGTGACTGAGTTCTGTCCAATGAAAAGTGGGCACTATTGCTTTGGTGATGTACTGGCCCCTAAAAACCCACACAGTCTTCCGTGCATCGTCTCTTTTCCCAGCTGGATATAGAGATCAAGAAAGGATTACAATCCCCAAGGGTCTCTGTACTCCAAGTGTGATCCAGCAGCCCTGGTATCACCTAGAAGCTTGCCAGAAATACCAAGCCTCAGACATCACCCCTCCTCCCCCAGACTTACCAGATCAGAGGCTTCATTTTAACATGATCCCCAGGAGATTCATAAGCCCACTAAAGCCTGTGAAGCTCTGTCCCAGGGGATGAGGGTGCTGCTAGGTGGAAGGAGCCTGTGTTTCTGAATTACCACACAGAATGGAGCCCTCCCACCGATTAGCCTCAGGCTGAGAGGAGGCCTGCGTATGTGTATGTATATGTGTGCATGTATCTTGATCTATATACGTATATGAGCTTCCATCCATGCAAGGTGAGATGGGAGTGTATTTTGGCTCTACTAATTCATTCCTTTTACTCATTTATTATACCTTCAACAAACATGTACTAAATAAATGCCTGTCATGTGTAACACACGAGCTTGGCACGATGGCGTTTCCAGAGGTGATCCCTGCTGTGAAGGAATGTTGCGTCTGTGGGAGAAATGTGTAAACATAACTACAATAAAAGGCAGAGCGGAACCACCACTGAAGAGGGCAAGGTGTACAAGGGTTGAGGGGAGGAGACCACATCCAACTGGAATAAGGGAAAGCTTCATAGACCAAGTGGCATTTTAACTACGATTTGAAGGGAAGATAGAGTTTCGATGGGTCTTGGAAAAGCAGGAGGTGGGAAGATGCTGAGGGATTGAGGGGCAGAGCGCATTCATAAAATGGGGAGTGGATAGTGCACCCCACTCCTGCCAGAAATATTTTTCACTGCAAATACTGTGTTTCTCTCTATCGAACCTGGTGACCTCAAATTTGATCATGCTTTAAACGAGTGGCAGTGCTTTCCATGGCAGGGACAGAGCTAGCAACTGAAAACGCTTAGAGAGGAAGGGGAAGTATAATAATTGCCACTATTGTTAATACTCGCCATTCTAAGCCTGTGGCTGCAGGCGGCATGGTACAGAAAGGGGTTTCTCAACCCCACGAGATGCACAAGCCTTTTTAAAAAGAAAAACGTCATAACCCTGAAGACCACCTTCACGGATGCTCAAACTCCAGTCTTAGAAACATGAACTTCTCATATGAGAATGCCTTCTAATTGTGAATTCTTCACTGCAAAGAGGTTTGTATTTAGATAACTATAAAAATAACACAAAAAGAAACAGATTCTCACAGAACATGTGGACCCTGTCACAGACTTCAGCCTGAGACACCTGGAAGGAACATCCAAGTTGGAGTTGGGCAATATAAATTTTGGTCCTAGCCTATCATTAATTCGCCCTGTGGCCTCTGGAAGTGGCTTGACATCTCAAAGGCATGTCCCTGCCTTGTTTCTGCCTCTGTCAAGTGGAAATAACAATGCTACTTCATGGCATCACAACGAGGACTACAGAAAATACATGTGAATGCTGAGGACAGTACCTGGCATTTGCCAAATGCAAAATAAATGTTAGCTATCATCGTCCTCATTATTACTGACACTGTTGGAGGAGTTGGGAGGTGCCTCGTGGCTCTCAATTTCTGTAATATTTAGTCACTGTCTTCCTGGAAGACCGAGTGAAGGGGGCAGAGACACCTGAAAACCTAGGATTGGAGAAAAACAGCAGTCTGGGTAAGAAAACATTCCCTTGGCATTTTCCAAGCAAAGATGAAGTGTTGCAATGGAAGTCTGGTCTGCACTCAGCACATTTTTTTGCAAAGCTACCACAAATACCCCTGCTGATGTTCTGAGACCAGGCTTCTTTTTGAAAACAGAAGTTATCCAAGCTTAGAGAGGAGGAACTGCCTTCATGGCAAGTCAGCCTTCATCCAAACATCGATCAAAAGACAAAAAGGGGACATCCCCGAGGAGACTCTCTATGCACTAAGACCACAGTGCCTGAATGCTGACAACACTGCCAGAATTTTTCAGTGTCTTGGCTCTTGAAGATTTAAGAGTACTCTGCTAGCACACTTAGGTAACATATCAGGCCAGGTATTGATTCCTAGCAAACTACTTCAACTTAACTAGGCCTCAGTTTTCTCAACAGCGGAATGGGTAGAAAGTAATCAACTTGCCGTCGAGCAACATCCATTAAATGCTTTATGGCTTTTGGCTAAAAGATGCCCTAACAAATCTGGGTATTTATTCAATGCATTATGTGGTGTGATCACAAAGAAACCCGGGGACAGTGACATGACAGCAGCTTTCCTCATGACACCTGCCCGTAGCTCATGGCTCAGGCCAGGTGTTACTCGAATACTTATCAGTTATTCTCCTTACCCTTTGCAGATGGGAAGAAACATGTTGGAACATCCAGAAGCTGCACTGAAGCTGGAGCCTCACGCTTGCTTTTGATTTACTACAGTTGGGAAAGCAATTACAGAGCCCACATATTTCTTTCTATCCTTTGCCAAGCAATTTCACGATGCTGAAGACCATGAATTTTTTGCTTCCTAAGGATGATACATATCATCTAAGGGAGCAATGCTGCAGAGGCTCGTTCTCCTGGACCTCTGGAGATGTGTCTCAAACGTGCAGTGCCCCCAAACGATGGCAAGCAGAGAGGGCCAGTGATCAAGCTGAGATCCTTCCTCTCTGCATGAGCCCAGCTGCTGTTCCTCATGTCCAGTCGTGCCCTCTGCTCTTGAAATACACTCCCTCGGCCTTAGAGTACCTGCCTAATTAGTCCGTGAAGCAACTCTCATGTATGAAGGGCATATGTTGAAGGGTTGGGATAAGACATATTTTCATAGACTTTCCCCAAAGATCATGGTGTCTTCCAAAATATAATTCCACACAAAGAGAGATATTAGAGCTTTAAGAGACCTCAAGAAATGGATATAGCAGGTGGAAACCTTAGTAAGTGAAGTATAGTCATCTCCATTTTTCAGATGAAATAACTGAGGCCCAAAGTCACACCGCTTTTTTGTATGAAAGGATGACTACTTCACTTGGTTCAATTCATGGTAAATCTAATTTCATTTGATAACATGCCTTTCTGTGCTATTTTTATCTGATTTTTGTATATTATCTCCTTTCTACACAATTTTTATCTTTTGGATACCTTCTTAATACGGCTTAGTGTTAGCTGTTTCATTCACTAATCTCCTCGACCCTAGGATGGGAGCAGGTCCTACAGCAGGCCTTGTGTGGACTCCAGCCAAGCATTTCGCACAGTCAGCTGTGTGCTGAGGGCTAATGATATGCTCAGGATTTGGGAAGCTGGTGGGAATAAAGGGAGGCCATCCAAGATCCAGTGTGACTGGCTTGTAGTATGCTCCTAGGCAAGGAAGGGTCTTTCAGAATCTTGTTTACCAAGGGTTGTTTTTTGTTTTTTTTTTAAAATCAAAGCCAAGAAAGAGAGCAGTCAACAAACAAACTCTCTGTACCACACAATGGTTACTAAGTGGCAGAAAGGGAAAAAGACAGGTAAAGTCAATCACCATTTGGGTTTGTTTGTTTGTTTTCCATACCCACCTTGTGATTCCGCCCATGTTTATCCAACAGGGAGATGATGGACTTGATGTGGCCCTCTGCTATCAGATTTAAGGCTTCTGGGCTTTCAATCAGGATGCAGTGCAAAACTTCCAAGATACCTACATGAGTGCCACAAAAATCATTGAGACATTAAACAGCCTGCAAAACTGACCATAATTTAAAAAGCTGAGCATGAAAAGACCATTCTCAGGGGACAGAATATTATCAATTCTCTGAATCTATGAACTATTTCCAGCTAGAAGGAAGATGCAGTCATCTGTGGTAAACCTCAGGAGTCTCTGGGGCCAACCTATCTGTAATTAGAGGTGAGTTTATTCTGCACTAACCCCATTTCCCTCTTCCTGGACAAAGACACAATCCTTCTGTGTCAAAATATAGAGAAACAGCTATAAAATGGAATTCTTAATTTGATCGAACCAAGCAATATTTAATTTAAAAATAGACAGAAAAGTAGATGCCCAGTGTACTACAAATTCTAAAGCTCATTGAGGTAATTTTGACAATATCAGAGTGTTCCTCAAATAAGCGTATATCTAGGAATCGCCCCAGAATTTATTTTTATTTTAGATGCCCTGGAGTAGCAAACAAATTGTAAGCTCACTAAATAAAGACTATTTGGCTTTGCTCCATTTTCTAGACATTCTGGATGGTTTTCTATATTAAGTGAAGGCTTAAGAAAAACTAACAGGTGCCCCTGCAGCCTGGCATCTGTAAGGGTAACACCATAATGAAAAGGCAAGGGAAGTAGTTGACCAATATCTTCATTGGTTTCACAGAGAAAATTCCTCTTCATTCTGGTTTTCAAGATTTTCATAAATTACCCTGAAATGTAGTTTGGCCCAAGGGAGGAGTTATGGAAGAAAACAGAGGCTTAGGGAGACACATGTAGGTGGATGGTCCTGGGGGAGCCTTCCCTTGGCCTTTCTTATCCAAGCTCCTGACGCCTCTAGATAATGGAAAAAAGCATCAAAACCTTTCAGTTTCCCAGAGGGGGGCAAGCACCTGTCCTGTTCATTCATCTCCGAGAAAGCCAACTGCTGAGCCTCATGGCATGGTCACTTGGTCACTTACCAATAGTGACTACACTCTTGGCTCAAATTCTCTGTGAGTCATGAAGGACTCTAGATATGCTGTTAAGGGTGACTCAGGAGGTGGGAGGACCGTCATTTCCTCTGATTCCACAGTCATCCTTCAGTCTTGCTTCTAACCCAAAGTGTTAGGAGGACCATGTCCAGACAAGGGTTTAGAAACCCAGAGAGAGTCCAAGTAGCAATAAGTAGGCGACCAGGACCCTGAGTGGGAGGCGATTAAAGGACCCAGGGGATGAAGATGTAGGCACAGAATGAAAAATGAAAGAGATGAGATACTGTTGAAGTTGGGTTAGAGTTATTAAATGAAGTTATGGGGTGCCAGGAAGATTTGGCACTTTTTTGTTGTTGCTAAAGTAATTATTTGCAATTTAGTGGAGAAAAGAATTGTTCAAAGATCAACATTATTTCCTTTTTTTTTTACAGAAAAAAGAGAAGGCCACCTTCTCCAGTGATTTCTTGTCAATTCTTACCTGAGGAAGATTCTAGTCTGTCCAATTTGCTGATTAGCCAATCCAGGTTATTGGAGAATTGAGTGCAATTGTTTCTGTTTCCACGAATGAGGGCAGCTGTGAACGATGGAAACGTTTGATCATGTAGGTTAAAGGACACAATGGTGATGAGCATAAGATCCTGGGAAGCTGCTAAAAATACTTCATATACTTAGCAACTAAAAAAAACTGAATGGCAATCTTCCCCTCTCTAGGCCTTTGATACAATCCTGTTTCTGGATTTAGAAAACTAAAAATCTAGCATTCACTCAAATATTTCCAGAGACTCTGCTATGTACCAGGCACCTGTCTAGTTGCTGGGGAAAGAGGAGAGGGAACACGGCAGCAGGATCCTTGCGTTCCTGAAGTAAGAGGAATCGACAATAAACATACAAATTAATAAAATTCCTTCAAATAGTGATAAGCAAGAAAATAATATCTGCTTGATTAGTGGCTTAAGAACTCAATTTTTTGCAATGTCTTCTGAAACCTAGCTAGAAATTTATTTTTCAGTGCTAAAGGAAGGCGCCCAAATAAACACAGCTGGAAAGGTTGGTGAAACTAATAGATAAGTAACAACTAAACATGAAACTCCAAAATATCTCAAACACATCAGTCTATGGCAGGGGTTCCCTAAGTGTGCTCCCCTGGGCCAGAATGTCAGTGTCAGCTGAGATTGTTAGAAATGCAAATTCTCTGGCCTTCTCCCAGATCTAGTGAATCAGAAACTCTGGGGAGAGGACCTACGATCTGTGCTTTAACAAGCCCTCCAGTTGATTCTGATGTGTGCTCATGTTTGAGAACCACTGACAGATGATATAGCTAAAGGAAGCAGGGAATATGTTGTCGTTAGATTTTCACCCATCTGGACCAAGGAATAACCTTCCCTCCATAGGCCAATGTGATAGATGCAACTTAGGAACAAGTCCATGTAACTTGGTCAGTCCCAAGTACCTTACTCTTTGTGTTGTAGATTTTCAAAGACTGGGCTTTTACAGATGCTTATAAGGTATTTGGATAAGGAAAGGTCTGCCTCAGGACCTCTGCTTTGCACTTGCCCAGTTAGTGGAGGGCAGAATTTGGTCTGAGCTCCTAACCTGCTTTTCAGGTCAGCTTAAGCTTAGGGAGTTGGACTGCCTGGGGTCAAGCCCAAGTTTCTACCACTTGTCACATGTGTGACCCTGAGCATTTCTGAGCATCAATCTCTTCATCAATAAAAAGGGGTTAAGAGTAGTCCCTACACATTTAAAGAGCTGCTCTGAGAATCAAAAAGAGATATTCCACTGCTTGGTGTACAGTGCTCAGTAAATGTTAGCTATTATAATAATTACTACTGAGTTTGAGCTGTATCATTACAAAATATTAGGGTCACACAGTACAGGGGCAGTCCAATCAGTCTAACTCTTGATGTTGAGAATGGGTCCAACCTGATTTTTCTGGGCTCCCCTCTGGCCCGCTGAACTTTTTATGGATTTCCTCTAATGGAACATAGAATTCAGAGTGAAGCCTTGAAATGCTGTATTGTCACCATGTCTGAGTGACCACCAGTGGCCACCTTCCTGTCAACCACTGTCCTGTCGCCTGGCAGTCCGTGTAGTGGGACTGGTTACAGCAGCCACCAGAACATCAGTACACACTCAGTATTGTGAGAAGAAAGGCTGGGTGCCAGAAACCCTTACTCACTACCTTTTTCCCCCACAAAATAAAATAAGCAGGAGTTATGACTGACCAATAAGCAGACAGTGAAAAGAACAGTTTAAGAAAGTAGTCACCCTTGGGTGCTGATAACACCGAGGTTATCAGCGTGGTGTTGATAACACTGAGGTTGCTGGTTTGATCCCCGCATGGGCCACTATGAGCTGTGCTCCCCCCCATAAAAGAGTCAACTATGCCATTGTAGCATGAAAGCAATGTGTAACCAATGACCATGGCGGTTCCCCAATAAAAATTAAAAAAAGAAAAAAGTAGCCACCCTTAAAGTGAGGGTGTCAGAAGTCAAGAATTTGGGGGCGCCATAAACATGTTTTAGTCTTATTCCCTCATGTTAAAGGTGAGGAATTGAGATTCAGAGAGTAGTAAGCGTTTCACAGGTAGTTTTGGCAAAACTGAGCACCCTCTGCTTCCGTCTCCTGCTGACTTCTTGCTCTAAGCGAGGAAAGCACAATAAGCTGCAGTGAACAGAACGAACGAACGGCTGGGTTAGAATCCACAGGTTAACAAAAGGCTTCCGAGGAATGAGGCGAGATGACAATCCCGGTGAGTCAAGTGGAGAGCCCATAAAGACCACCCTTGGAAATCTTCCCAGGGAGAGGCTATGTGTGTACTCACCCAGCAATTTGTACAGGAGGTTCAGGATTTCTTTCCAGGCCATGCCACTCTCTTCCCTGGCAATTCCTGCGAAGTGGGCTACGCTGTTGTAGATATTTAAGCGATCGATGCAATTTAACACAAGGGCCAACATTCCCTGTGAAGGCAAGTGGGGGTGGGGGGTGGGGTGAGGGGTGAGGAAGAGTGAAAATTCCTGATGACAAAAGCAGATCGCTTTTGTTCTGTCCCCACCCAGATCATTCACCTTTGAAGGCTGATAATGCTAACATGCAAGTAGGCCTTCATGGTGCCAGCTTGGGTTTTGTTTTTTTTCCTCCCTATAAACAAAACATGCATTTTTATGCCCCGATACCTAAATAGCATTGGTTTGGAGTGAGTCAGCAGTCTCCTCTCACAGGCTTGCCCCCTTGTGTTTAACTCAAACCAAGGACATACTGAGGAAGAGGGAGCGGAAATGAGTCTCACAAAGGCCCGATCTGTGTGGGGTGTGAAATGGCTCTGACTCACCCAGAAACAGCCCTGGAGAGAGTACCTATTTTTCTCTTAAATCTCAAATACGTAATTCCACTGGGATACACAAGAAAACCTTGCTTGCTTCCACCCTCTTACCCCCACAAAAAAGGTGGGATTTAGAGACAATAAAACCAAAAGAGTGTTTTTAATTAGGTTCATCTAAATGACAATACTATGCCACCCAGTAAAAAAAAAGTCTGTACTGAGCTATTCTTAAAGAGATGTAGTTCCAGTAGTCTGTAAGGCATAAAGTCCCCAGGGTCAGTCTGCTTAGATCAGAAGCCTCAGCTGGGATGAGCCTATATCTCAGGTCACTACCCATGGAAATGCCCAAGGGACAGGACCTGTCCCTGGGAACGAGGGGCTGCAGAAGTACAACCATGGCCTGTTAGTGCCAAATCATCATGGCCAAGTTCAGAGGTGGCGTGTGACTTGTCTAAGGTCACACACAGCCAAGGATGGAGCCAGAACTAGGGCCCCTTGAGGCCCAAGTTAGTGTTTCCCGATGCCCAGGCCTCATCCCTAGTGACCCAGATGCTCACCTAAGACCTAGCATCACCTGTAACATTCAAACCAGCTCCTCAGTCATTTCTGAGGTGGTGGAACCTGGGCATCTGTATTTTTCAAACAGGTGTCCTAAGTAATTCTGATACCTTCCAAAGCTTGGGAATCACAGGCAATGCTGTGCTCTAATAGCTCAAATTGACTGAATATGGGTTTTGAATACACATGTGACACTGAAGCTTTCAAATACAATCTGATTAGAATGTGCCAATGTCCACGGCGACCATGCACACCGCCAGCGTCACCAGGGGCGGCTGACAGTGAAGGGCAGCTTCCAGCTCATCCCTTTCTTCTCGGCCTCCTCACTTTCTTGTTCTCTATCATTTCAGCTTAGCAATGACCCACAGCCTTTGGACCAACTTGTTCTGTCAATTCATAAACACGTGCAGGTAGGAAGACAAAGCGAATGGCAGGTACAGGGCTATTTTAGCTAAGGACACAAAGAGAATCTCAATTTCTAATTTTTTGGACGTACCTCTTCCTTGAAAAGATTCTGTCTGTTTTTGAGTGAGCGGAGCTTGTTCTGCTTGTCTTCATGCTGCATCTCTTCCTCTGGGGGCTGGAAATAGGCGATTAAGTCCTGTAGGGTCTGCAGGACCTCTTCTATTGGCAGGGTGACAGGGGCAGCTGTGCGATTGTTTCCACTAAAAAACACAAGGTGGACATGGCTAGGACACCAGGCCTCTGACAGGAACCCTGACAAGTATCCACCAGGTCCTGGTTCCCATGGGCCCCACACCGGGCACCATGTACTGCCCCTAGGGTGGACTCCGTACGAACGTCCACAAATTGATGTTGGCCAACTAACACAGCAACAGAAGACAGTGTTCTGATTCGATTTTAAAGCCATTTCATAAATAAAGGGAAATGTCCCCTGGTTGTCTGCCACACTTTCCCCTTTTTAAATCGAAAACATTTTTTAAAAGTAATAAACTTATTAGCCCACAGTTCTTTTGTATTATTACATGTTCTTCTTGGACTAAACATAAGGCTGGGAGGGTTTCTATCACTAGCCTGCCTCTCCACCTATATCTTTGTCTTCTGTCTCTCTCCATGTATCTTTTTCATACCTCAGCATGTGTTTTTCTCTTAAAGTTTCTGTGGGTGTGCATGCACACACCTGCTTCCCCCGTCCCATTTGGTTATGTCTGTCTCCTTCGCTCTCTATATCTGTCTCTTTCTTCTGACTTCCTGTGTGTGCTCTCCCTCTGTATCTCCCCTCCTCTTTCTCAGCATCCCCCATCTCTCCACATCCTTCTCTCTGTCTCAATGCCTCCCTTCGTGCCCCTCCCACCGTCTCTCGCTCTCTCTCTGTTGTGTTCCTCCTTATCCTGAATGTATCTCTGTATCACTGACTGTCATAATTTTCCAAAAAATCTTGTAATTAATCCTGTGAACACAGAGCAATCAAAAACCTCCACAGACGCCAAATGAGCCCTCATTTTCCCATCCTCTTGAGGATAAAGGCTAAGAGGAATGGGGAAATGGACCTAGCCCCCGTGGAACTGAATCATTGGTCCAGGGGGACTGAGACTCAATCGGTTGACTGTATCAATACTGTCAAAGCTTTCCTTGGGTTAATTTCTAGTGAGTTTTCCTTTGCATTTACAGGGTATCTGTTTATATATTAACCTGGACACATGCTAACCCTACAGAAAAGGCTGAAAAAGCCCTGAAAACACGCAGCTATGAGGTGACAATAATTCCAAATCTGTGTAAAAACATGCCAAGTGCATACAATGAGGGCAGAACCCTAGTGGATTGTACAGGCAGGGAGGTCCTTCTCACCAGTGTATACTCTGGCCCATGGTAGGTGCTCAGGGAGTGTTTACTGATAACTATCTGAGATATTCTTGGACACAGAGTAGGAAAGAGAATGCCATGAGGCCATGAGGTGAAGGTTTGGGACTACAAAACCCAATCAGAAATGACTTCCAAATTCTAGATTCAGTGAAGGGATGAATACATTTTCCTCAATATTTTAGGTTCAGTTGGGAGTTTTTTTTCTCTCTCTCCCTCCCTCTCTCTCTCTCTCTCTCAACACTTTAAGTTTACTAGAGACATTGGTGCCAGTTAAGTATACAGTGTTTCTTCATGTGTTAAGATGAAAAGTGCAAAGGAGAGGTTTGTTGGCATTTTTGTAGCTTGAAAGGACAACGACACGGGGTTGGAAAACCCAGGGTAAAGTCGTGGCATTAACCACATGATACTTGGAGTGCCTCTGAGCCTCTGGTCTTTTACTTTTACACCTGGAAAATAGAAAAGGTACCCTCTATGATTGCCAGGGTCCTTCTGGGTCTAATTTTTTGTTGTTGTTCTGTGGGTTTTCACTGCTGGGTCAACTTCATCTTACCCCTGGAATAAACATCAGTATAACAGTCCTCCACTGGACTGAGGCAGATGCCTCCCTTCCTTCAAAATAGAACACATCCCACATGCCTGGCACTGCAAGACAGTAGTTAAAATAGACATGACCTCTGAATAGCTTCATGGGGCTCACATTCCACCTTAGAAGCTTAGAGAGGAGACCCAGATGGACCCAAAGGGACAGGAACAAGATACTATCTCAATTCAGCACTAACTACAATTGGTACCTATCTCATCTCCAACCTTTTCCCACTCCCTACAGCCACTGTCCCACTACATTCCCAACCTTTGCCAAGGATTTCTTTTGTTAAATTCAAGTAAGACCTCAGGTGATGCTGAATATTTACCACACCACTGTCATGAGACCATTATTTATATTGTTTCCCTCCTAAGGCTAAATTCAGAGGTCAGATGGGAAGTCTCCTCTCCTCAGCAGGGTTTCTGAAACTCCCTCATCTCTCACATTGTTCACCTGTCATACTGGACAGCTCCCAGCAAATCCACAGAGGATGAGAGCACATGCAAACTTTAACCTTCTCTGCTTCACTGTTCTTTCTTGCCCCTTTCCTACTCATTTAACATTAATTTGCTCTCCCAGGAGGCCATCCTCTTCTGGTTTCCGTTTGTACACAGTATGCACTGTTGGTTTCTCAAAAGAGATGTGAGGGGAAGATGTATTTCCAAATTATTTTTTTTATCTTTCACTTGCCAGCTCTTGCAAGATTCAAGTACTATGGTTTTTGCAGCCCCACCTTTGCTGCACTGGTTTATTTTTATTATTCCTTCTTTCTTCTAAAATATCCTGTGGCTGGGAGAATAGAGAATTAACTCCCATTGCAGGTAGAACTTCCAGAATAGTGGAGTGAGGAGTTCAGCAAATCTCTCCCACAAAATTAGGATACAACAAAATCATCTAAAATAACTTTGTAGGGCTTTGGAAATTGAACAAAGGCATACAACAAATTGAGAGGCATGCATTAAAAACATATATGAACCTTGGTAAGAACAGCAGGAGTCTACGGTGTTTCAGGTTGAGGCTGTTCCCATGCCTTTCCCCAGCTTCATAGCTAAGAAGTTCTAACAGTGTGGGGCAGACCGTGTGTGACGCTGCTCGGGAACGACCAGAGAGGGACCTGGCTATCTAGTCATCTCTGGCTGAACATCAGGCCTTCCTTGTGAAGCAGAAAGTAAAATCTTGGACAGAATTAAAACTGCTTCAACTTTAACATGTTATCCAACCCACATGGGTAGCATGCTTGCCTTCTAAGTAATGCTAGGGGAAGGCCTTCAGGCTGAAAGAAAATGACACCAAACAGTGACTAGAATCAACATGAAGAAATAAAGAGCAGCACTGATAAAGAAAATTATGTAGATAAATATAACAGTGCATGTATGTGCATATATATATATTTCTCTTTAGTTCCTGTAACTTTTAAAAAAACAAATGCCTAAGATGATAATTGTAAAACTGTATTGCTGGACTTACAACACATGCAGATGTAATATACATGATAATATCACAAAGGAGCAGGGAAATAATAGAACAATATTGGAGCAAAGTTGCTTTATTTTACTTAAGTTTGTATTAATATCTTTCAAGTTAAATACATACTGAGTTCCCTAGAGTATCCACTAGAAATTCAAGTCAAAAAAGTAGTTTAAAAAAAACTCAACAGAGGAATTAAAATGATACACTAGAAAATATTTAACACAAAAGAAGGCAGTAAGGAGGAACAGAGGAACAAAAAGGACATGAGACATAAAAGACAAATAGCAAAATTTCAGACATAAATCCAACCATTTGAATGATTACATTATCTATAAATAGATTACACACACCAATGAAAAGATTGTCAAACTACATTTAAAAACTCCAATGAATCTACATACTTCATAGATTCAAAGACACAGATAGATTGAAAGTACAAAGAGCCATCTAAATGGCACCCTTAATATGCATGCAGACATTTGGAGTGCCTCTAAAAACACACTTTAAGACACAAAAAAATGTTCATAGAGGAAAAAGGGAGATATTTTATAATCATAAAAGAGTCCATTTATCAGGAAGATACACCAGTTACAAATATATAAGCACTCCAAGACAGAGCCCAAAATATATGAAGCAAAAATTGACAGAATTAGGGAAGAAATAGACAATTCAATAATAACAGAGATTTCAATACCCCATTCTCATTCAGTTAATGTAATGAACTGTAATAATAAGGGACAAAATAACATGATCATCTCAATAGACAAAGAAAAATAATTTGACACAATCTAACACTCATTTAATAATAATAGAAAAACTTCTCAACAAACCAGGAATAGAAGAGAACTTCCTCAACCTGATAAAGGGCATCTACAACAATCCCATAACTAACATCATGTTTAACGATCAAAGACTGAAAGTTTTCCCACTAAGATTAGGAACAAGACAAGGATGTCTGTTCTTTCCACTTTTATTCCACAATTTAGTAGATATCCTAGCTAGTGCAGTCATAAAAAGTTAAACATCCCCAAATGTCCACTGATGGATGAATGGATAAACAAAACGTGGTGTTTAGATACAATGCCATAATATTCAACCTTGAAAAGGAGTTAAATTCTGACACATGCTACAAAATAAATAAAACTTGAAGATATTTTTAATAAGTTAAATAAACCAGACACAAAAGGACAAATATTCTATGATTTTACTTATATGTGGTACCTAGAATTGTTAAATTCATAGAAACTGAATGTAGAAAGGTGGTGACCAGGGGCTGGAGGGAGGGGAGAATGGGGAGTTATTGTTTAATTGATATGGAATTTCAGTTTGAGATGATGTAAAAGTTCTGGAGATGGAGAATGATGATGGTTGCACAACAATTTGAATGCACATAATGTCACTGAATTGTACACTTAAAAATGGTCAAAATGGTAAATTTAATGTTATGTGTATTTTACCTCAAAAATATTAAAAAGTTAAATTTACATATGACTTAGTAATTCCACTCCTAGGTATTACCCAAGAAAAATGAAAACATACACTAATATCCACAGAAGTATTACAGAGAATAACCAAAAATAGAAATAGCCCACTGTTCCTCAATTAACAAATAAACAGAATGTGAGGTGTGTGTTTTGTACGTCTTTCTCTATAGAGATATCTGTATGTATAGTTCTCTCTTCTGTGTATACACACACACACACACACACACACACACAAAATCATACATATATACATACATTCATGTGTGTATATGTGTATCTATATCAATATCTGGTAGATATATGTGAAGAATACTCTTAAGCAATAAAAAGGAAAAGAACACCATTTTGAGCTATAACAGAGATGAACCTTAAAAATGTAATGTTGAGTAAAAAGGCCCAAATCAAAAGACCATATATTGTATGATTTAATTTATCAATTTAATGCATTAAATTAAGACAGTAGATAACTAATTGTCTGCCTAAGGCTGGGGTGGCAACTAGTACAAACTGCAATGGACATAAGGAATTGTTTTGGGGTGATGGAAATGTTTAAAACTGAATTGTGGTGACAGTTGCACAGCTCTTTAAATTTATTGAAATTCACAGCTTCAAACACTCAAAAGGATGAATTTTATGATATGTAAATTATTACCCGATAAAGCTGTTTAAAAATAATTTCCCCGTGGTCAGGCATTTAACTCCTACTTACTTTTCTCTTAAATAACAGCTTTATCTATATACATATCTATATACAATCATCCATTTAAATGGCACAATTCAATGGTTTAATGGCTTTTAGTATATTTAGAGTTGTGCAATCATTACTTCAATCAATGTTAGAACTTTTTCATCAGCTCTCCCCAAAATCTCACACCCGTTAGTAGTCACTCCACTTTTCCCCTCTGATTGCTCCTACACAACCACAAAACTGCTCTCTTTCTCTGTAGATTTGCCTATTTTGGACATTTCATATAAGTGGGATCATGCAATGTGATCATTTGTGATTGGCATTTTTCACTTAGCATAATGTTTTCAAGGTTCATCCATGTTGTAGTGTGTGTCAGAACTCCATTCCTTTTTATGGACAAATCATATTCCATTGTGTGAATATGGCACATTTTATTTATCCATTCATCAGTTGAATGTTTGGGCTGTTTCTACCTTTTGGTTATTACGAATAATGCTACTTTGAACATCTGTGGACAAGGTTTTGCATGGACAATATGTTTCATCTCTCTTGGGCATACACCTAGGAGTGAAACTGCTGGGTCATATGGTAACTCTATGCTTAACATTTTGAGGAATTTCCAGACTATATTCCAAAGTGGCTGTGACATTTTATATTCCCACCAGCACTGTATTGGGGTTCTGAGTTCTCCACATCCTGTCCCACACTTCTTATTAACAGTCTTTTTTATTATAGCCGTCTTAATGGGAATAAAGTGGTGTTATCTCACTATAGTTCTGATTTGCATTTGCATTTTCCTGATGGCTAACAGTGCTGAAGATCTTTTCATATGCTTATTGGCCACTTGTATATCTTATTTGGAGAAATGTCTATTCAGATCCTTTGCTCATTTTTTTAAATTGGTTCATTTTTCTTTTTAATGTTGAGTTGTGAGAGACTTTATTCTAGATACAAGTCCCTTATCAGATATATGATTTGCAAATATTCTTTCCCATTATGTGGATTGTTTTTTTTTTTCACTTTCTTGATGGTACCCTTCGCAGCAAAAAAGTTTTTAATTTTGATGAAGTCCAATTTATTTAGTTTTTCTTTTGTTGCTTTTGTTTTTGGTATCATATTGAAAAAACCACTGCCTAATCCAAGGACATGAAAATTTAAGTCTATCTTTTCTTTTCCAGGTTTTACAGTTTTAGGTCTTATAATTGGATCTTTGATCCATTTTGAATTAATTTTTGTATATGTATGAGGTAAGGGTCACTGTCTTTTAAGAAAAATATAGGGGCAGAGGTTGAGAAAATTGGGGGTCAGATAAACTGTCCACCTCTAAAATGGTGCTTCTGGTAACAGTTCAGACTACATGAAAAGCTCATGTTTGCATGTAGCTATCTTTTTCTGCCTATATCAAGCCATTCGTTCTTATAACTTTTCTTTGAAGAAGAGGGGCATATCTGGATATAAGGAGGCATAGAAAGGAGGAAATATTTTGCTCAAGGATCACAGGAAACCAGTGGCAGAACCAAAAGCAGACAAAAGATGGTTGACTTGCCTCAGTTCCATCCCCTGGCAGACATATTTCTATTGTGTACTTTGTCCAATGTAGTAACAGAACCCTTGATTTGTGCTGGGCACATAAGCCAACCAACTAGGTGTCAGCCTCCTCACACCTAGGTGTGGCCATGTGACTAGGTTTTAGCCAGTAGAATTTAAGATAAAATAATCAACTTCTGGATCATATCTTTTAAAAAAGAAATTGTTGCCCTCCACTTTGTCTTTCTTCCCCCTTTTGCATGACAGACTTCAGACATGGTGCCAGCAGGCTATTTTTTATCACGTGGATAAAGAAACATACCAGGACAGTGGTTGTCAACTGTGGCTGAATATTAGAACCACCTGGGGTGCTTTAATTAAAAGCTGATGCTTGTTAATTTGAAAAGATATATGCAGCCTATGTTCATTGCAGCATTATTTACAACAATAGCCAAGATATAGGAGTCCATCAATAGATGAATGGATAAAGATGTGGCACATATATACAATGAACTGTTATTCAGCCATAAAAAATGAAATCTTGCCATTTGCGACAACATGGATGGACCTAGAGAATATTATGCTAAGTGAAATAAATCAGGCTGAGAAAGACAAATACCATATGATCTCACTAATATGTGGAATCTAAAAAACAAATGAATAAACAAAACAGAACAAACTCATAAACAGAGAACTGATGGGTCAGTGGGAGATGAGCAAAAAAGGTGAAAGGGATTAAGAAGTACAAATTGCCACTTATAAAAATAGACATGGGGATGTAAAGTACAGCAGAGGGAATATAGTCTAATATTGTAATAACTATGTATGGTGTCAGGTGGGTATTAGACTTATTGGGGGGATCACTTTGTAAGGTATATAAATGTCTAGTCACTATGTTGTACACCTGAAACTAATATAATAGTGTATGTCAACTATAACTGAAAAATAATGTTTAGAACAAAAATCTAAAAAAAAAAAAAAGCTGGTGTTCGGATTTCACCCCAGGGATTCTAACGCAATTGGTCTGAGGTGCCACCTGGGTATCAGGGTGTTAATAGCTTCCAAGATGAATCTAACATGGGGCCAAGGTTAAGACCCCTCTATTCCAGGGCAGCGGCTTGTAAACTTGAGCATGCACCAGCATCAACTGGAAGGCCTCTTAAAACATGACTTTCTGGGGGTGCCATTCCCAGCTGTCTGATTCAGTAGGTTTGGGGTAAAACCAGAGAATTTGTATTTTTAACAAGTTCCCAGGTGATGCTGCTGTGCTGGTCCAGGGACACACTTTAAAAACCTGTAGGAGATCTCAAAGCAGCTTCACAGAAGGAACCCGAGCCCCAGTGGCCAGAGTATTTTCCTTAAAACACTCACCTACCCTCCAATTATACTTTAAAGAAAAATCAAAGCTTATCCTGAACTGCAACAGCAACTTAGCTTCTATCTTAACTAACACACATTCCTTGGTTCATAGTGTTTCAACAAGAAGAAAAGTAAAAAATATTAAATTTTTTTCTCACTTCATGCAAATTCACACAAGAAATTTAAACCCTCTTGGCTTTGGAGCTATTTTCCCACAAAAGAAGGATGGTTTGGAACACTGCCCTGTTTACAACAGAACCCGTTCCTCCTGGTAATTGGTGAACACAAGCCACAGAGTTTGGTTTTGGCAGCATGGCTAAGGCTGGGGGGTTATGACCCAAGCAGGCAGTTCAGTTACGTTACGTCTCAGCCATAGTTGGGTAACTCAAGGCTTCCCATGAAACTGACTTGGATACAAACTACAGCAACGATTCTGAATGGTGAGGAAAGCCTTTCTAAATAGCAGAGAGGGAGTGAGTCTATTTCTTTTCTCTCCTTCCCTCTCTTTCCCTCTCCCCACATCTTCACACACTAATACAAAAGGGACTTAAAGCACTCCAGCTGTCTTCACTTCATTTTCCTGAGAAGACCTTGGGTATTCATGCCACCAAGCTGAATAACCAAGGGGGCTTGAACATTTGTTGGGCAAAGAGAGAGGGTGGTAGGTCACCATGTGGGAAATAGGTTTCAGTCCCAAGCTCTCTCCGGTAAAGCCCTTTGCAGGTGTTTAATTATTTCCTGCAAACACTCACAGTATTAAAAGGAGGGTGGGTAGTTGGGATTGGAAGTCCACAGAATAGAAACTGCCAGGAGAGCAACGAAAAGAACTCACGTACCTTACAAACTGGCTGAATAAGGCAGTTGTGTTCCGGATGATCCGAGCAGCCTGGGACTCCTCACGCTGGCATCTCTGCAGCATTAATCCATCATCCATGTGGCCTTCCTGATGGAGTATGACCTACAGAGCCAAGCACACCAGGTCCAGGTTACGCGTGACTCCACAGCTGGGTAGTCAACATGTCTTACAGTTTCCCTCAACCCTGGAACTCCTCCTCCACAGCCAAGTTCCCCTGGGTCCATTCTGAAAGTGGGACATTAACAAAGTTATCTTGCCCATATGCCCTATTACTGACATATGAATCATTCTTGAGACACGATGCTTTGATGAAAATAAAATTTTATGTGCCACCGTGGTATGAATTACAATAAATTCCTTGGGCCTAGATGGCCAATTTGAAAGGGTGAAAACATACTTTGTAATAGATTTTTCTCTTAAAGTGAACACAAAACCTTATTCTTGGCAATGAAAAAAGTCATTTTGTTAGAGCCTTTGCCTTCGGAGATAAATTGAGGAAGAAGGAAGACACGTTAAAGCAAAACCCTCTACTGGGATCAGACTTGGATTTCTCTCCTTAAGGACAGCCACACTGGGTTAACTTACTGTCAAAGTGGGGAAACAGCTCAAGGTGACTGCTTCTTAGAAAGAAGGTTTGAACACAGGCTGTGGTATCATCAACCTGAGTTCTAGTTCTGTTATGCACATCCCAGTTGCGTGACCTTGGGCAAGTTACTTAACTCCTTGCTTCAACTTCACGACTGACAAATGGACTTATCTTAGAGGGCTCTTTGGAAGATTAGATGATTTACATGTAAATCATTTAGCATGTTTCCTAGAATACACGAGGTACTCAATGAATGTTATAAGAAGCGGTACTTGACCAATCTCAGGTCAGTTACCTGGAAGCTAAGCATACTCATTGATCACCTTTTTGGGTGGAGCTAGCAGCTGTTGATATAGAGGTCAGTACTTTTTCCCTCAAAAGGGTCAAGTGTGTGCAGATGTTAACTGAGATAGTTTGACTCTAGTTCAACTCGGGGTCAAATCTTGATTCAAGTACCTGATGTGGTTTCCTTTTGACATGAGTAAATGAAGGGAGACCACTAGTAGGTCCTGGGTGATTGGGGCCGGGGGTGATGGTTAGTCTATATGTCAAATAAATAAAAAATATGGCTTCAGGAAATATTTTTAGAATAAGAATATTTGATCTTTCTCATTTTTAGCATAAAGAAACAACTTATTTTCCTTTCCATGTGAAAATCTATTATTATTATTATTAATTATTATTATTTTCTTCTGAAGGTATGTCCTGATATAACGAATCCACAGAGGAAGAATTCTAGCTTGCAAAAATGTATGTTCACTTTTGAAAAGAAGACTTTGCATCCCATCTACATGTGTACACTATGGCTTAAACATTCCAAAGGATGCCCTTACCATTGGAGTCACCAGTTCAAAACATTAGCCAGAACTTCCCAGCAACTGGTTAACGATGTTGCATTTAGGTTGGGCAACACTTTGCCACTAGGTTTACTTTGATCTCAGTTCCAGCTTTCTGGTCCCTTAAGACCCAAATCCTTAGGTTTTGCTTGTACTGATAACACATTCAAACTGGCCAGCCAAATAAAAGAGTAATGAGAAAAGAGGGGAGATGCAGCTGCGAGAACATTGTTGTTATGTGCATCTCTGATTGCTGCAGCCCAGTTTCTAAGGTCCTGCTTCTCTTAGAGGAATTCCGTGGCCCCAAAGCCGAGAGCAGAAGCCTCAGGTATGAATGGGAAAGAGGACACTTCCTTTAAGGTGAGTTACCATTCATCGGGTTTTTCACTGTGTCTGTTCTCCACTGGTTTCTCTAGGTTCCTGGTTTTTTGTTTGTTTGTTTTTTGTTTTGTTTTTTCATAAAATGCTTAGCACAGACTTGGACATGCTTTGTATTTTTAGAGGAGAACTTATCCTGCTCCTCATGAAATGGACAAGAGCAGCCCTGTTAAAGGCAACACATTTACACAGAGATTCGGAAAGCACCCTCCAAATTCAAATGCCCTGTCCAGCAGTTAAATGGATCTAGGTACGGTGGTCCTGGAACAGAAAAGCAGGGACAGGCACAATAAATCAACATCGCAAACTGGGGTCTCCCCTAGTTCACAGGGTCTTTTGAATATGTCCCCTCCCACCCAGAGTTACAGCCAAGGTCCACAAATTCCACTCTGTTTAAATGTCATCAATACCTTAGTAGGTATGAAAAGTTTTGAAGGCTCCACGTGATATTATCATACTCTATAGAGGGTTTAATTTTCTTCTGATAGGCTGGTAGGGTAGACGATGGGTTGTTGACATTTATTTTCAATCTGCCCTTATTTCCAGGGTATAGTCCTTACTCCTGGGGTAGAGCCCTTTTGGGATTTAATTCAAAGTCTACTGTATTTTCAAGGGTCATTCCAACTTGAGAGGCCCTGAACCCCAATGTTTGTCTCCCTGTACTGTCATACTGCCCATGTCTCTGCTTTGCTCTTCTCCCTCACAGCTGCCACTATCTGTTTGCTATCTTAGCTTCACATCCCATCTGTCGTCAGCTGAAGGTTCCGTCCATGGGAAACTGCACATAGAATTTCAGGCTCATGTTTCTACAGTTCCCTCCACTCTGGAATCCTGGCCCCTCCAGTTGCAGGGACTTTGGCTGACCTTATCTCTAATCTGTCTCTCCAGCCCAATGAAGCTAACACAAGACCCCACTCCTTGGTGCTGCCACTCAGTAAATACGCTGAGGGGAAAGTGGTAACAAAGGTGCAAACTCATTTTAGTGCACTTACTGGTACATTCTAATATTTGGGATCTACAGCGTTCATGTCTTGGGTGCCCTGGTTGCTGAAACCTTCAAACGGTTCTTTTTTTTTTTTTTTTTGTATTTTATCCAGTCTTTACAATTGTTTGCAGAGGAAGCATTGGGCTCATATACGCTAGTCTGTGTGGCCTCTTATTTCTTCTATTTTCTATCTCCTCTTCATAATTTTAGTTTCCCTTTCCTGGATATTTTCCTGGTGTGTTTTAATCTAATAGTATTACCCTTACAGTTTGCGCCCACCCTCCTTTTTACAATCACCAGCACTCTGGGAAGCTTTTCATCATCTCTACATTAGGCTGATATACCCAAACTGCAGTGTACAATGCCTCCTAGAGCCTTAGCATGGGACTCCTTCACTACTCAAACTTGTGTTTTGCAAGGGTTTTCCAAGGAAAAAGCATTAGGCCTTGACATCTATTTTCTTGGTTCTTAACAAAAGGAACACTCTTGTGGCAATTGACTTTCTGATAAAAAAAGATGCTGTGTGTATCTAAGCCAGTTTCCCATTGTATTGTAGCAGGCTGTCACATACCACTCAAATCTGGATATGTGGTCTGTGGAGACAGCATCATTCCACAGTATCTCATTTTTCTGCATGTTGGTTCCAATGGGCTTGTTATCATGCAATTTGCTTTTTCTCTGTAGAGGTTCTATTTAGTCTCTGTATTATGAAACTGCACAGTAACTTAATTATCCACTGAAATGGAGGGAGCAATGATGTGGTTAATCCCCAAACAGCATACCACCAGAAGTTATTTAGTGCCGGTTTTAGAGTCCATTGAACAAATTCTACCCCCTCCTCACAAAATTGCCACCTATTGAACTTTTTTTTTTTTGCACTGAATATGAGGTCAAAGTAACCAAATTAGGCTATACTATCTGTCAGACAGAAAAACTCTTCAGAATAGTAACCAAATACGCATCACGTCCAACTGATTCTCAGACTCACTTGCCCAGTTGCTCCCAACTGTGTAAAATGATTCTGGACAGCCTTTCTGACCCCTCACCTTTCTTTTCAGAGGTCCGAGGCGGGATGTCTTGGCATCCTGGGCTTTGTAGGTCACCCACAGACCACTGGCTATGTGCTGGACAAAGCAGACAGAATCGCCATACTTGATTTCTGGAACTCCCATGCCATCGACATCTCGCTTGTGATTGGAATCCAGTTTCTCCTTGATTTCCTATTTCACGGAAAATGAAACAAACCAAATGTAGGCATGTCTGATTACACAGAAACATAACAGATAAAACAAATCACCGATACTGAATCTGTAAGCCAGGGAACTGATTACCAAAACACTCATGATGTGTCTGTCCAAGCCAATATTTCTGAAAGATTTGCTTCCCTTATCTGTTAAGTGTAAAATCAATGGATTTCAAGTTTTGGTTACTTTAGTGATATTTAAATCTAAGGGAAAATTTGGAAGCCAGTAGATCTGTTTCTGATTTGATAAAATTCTTCATTATATTTTCTACTTTCCTCGTCTGACTTAGATACCTGAACAACTAACACTTTACTGCCCAATTAACTTATTTTCAAAAGGCTGTATCTTCCATGATTTGAATGGTTATCTTATATAACTGATCTGGCTCAGGGGCTTTAAATATATCTTTAAAATATCTTCTATAGAAATCAGCAGAGAAAGTGACTGGGCAGGTAGGGGGCTACTGTGCCTTAAGTCTAACATAGTAATTCGCATTTTAATCTCTTATGGCTCCTCAGTTGTGTGTTGCAGTCACTGGATGTCATTCTTTAATTGCCACTGTTTCATTAAACCTATTCTCCAGTACGGAAAAGAAGGAGTTAGTGGGCAGTAGGTGTCCCCTTGGTGAAAACCTGAGGTGCCTGAAACAGAGTGAGTCCGGAAGTAGACCCAGATGCATGGGAACTCTGTCCCCTCGTCATCAATCAGGGCCTCTGAATGGTTCTACCTGCTTTCCATTTCTTCTCTGCATCTTGTATTAAATTGCTTATTTGTAAAAGCCATTAGCTAGGCAGCATTTTGAATTTTTTATAGAATAAAATATGTAGTATGCTGTTCCCTCTGCTGGTGACAACTTTTACTCTTATTCTTAATGATGGAACAAAAGTAGCACATGTACTGAGCTCTTACCATGGGCGAGGCAGTGATCGAAGTGATTTACACATATTAACCGTTCACAGCAGTCTCTGTTGTGGCTACAAATATTATCCCAGTTACACAGAGGAGAAGATAAAAGTACAGAGAAATAAGTAATTTGCCCAAAGTCACTCAATAAGTAGTGAAAGAGGCAAGATTTAAACCAGGAAGTCCAGCTCTTCACTGCTCTAAACGCCTACTTGCCCTTCAATACTCTGCTCAGATGCCACCTTCTCTGTGAAGGCGGTTAGTCTCTCCTGCTGTATTTCCCCAGCACAGTCTCATTCCTCTATTGAGCCTAGCAACTCAAATTGTAAATGTGCTTGTTTATATGATACTTTCCTGTGGCCAGACTATAAAGGATCCAGGGCAGGGGTCAGATTTAAGTTAATTTTGGATTCCTAATACACAGACTCCAGCACCTATCAATTACTTAATAAACATATATTGAAAGAATATATATATGTATATATACATAATTTTTTCTTTCAAATATGCTTTTCATTTCAGCTCTTATTTTTCTTCAAACTTTCATAAAAGCAAAATGAGTTATTTTGCACACATTTACAGGATCATTTTGAGCAATGTTAACACTTTACCAGAAATTCTTATTTTAAATGTATGTTGAAACATTGGTTGGATTGTTAAATATGACTTATTTTTCAAAATGAACACTTCCAAAAATAACTTCTTTCTGGTTTTATAACAACAGCCAATGGGAAAATAGAATTTGTTATATTAGGATTTTTTTTTTATAGGCAAGTGGTCAAGAATGCATTTGTTCTACAAAATAATGTATACTTGATTTTCATTTCAGAAATATCCATAGTTCTGTAGACATTCAGGATAGTAAGAGACTTAAATATGTCAAAGTTTTCATCTCCAGCCTGTTCTCTAACCATAGGCAATGCAGTAAAATAAAAATAATACACACTACACCAGTTAAATATAAATAATTATGCTAATTGCAAAGAGCTCACAATTAGAATACTGCATGTTCCCAAACTGTCAATGATGATGATCATTTTATTTTTTTCCCTTTTCATTTATTTAAATATGACTTCGCCCAAAGAAAATAAATTCTAGAGTCTGTTTTTCTAGAGTCTCTGAGATAAATGGATCATTGTTGTTTACAGATGGAGTGTCTCTCTGTGTCTTTGCTTTTACAAAATAGCAACAACACCCAAGGTTCTATGGTAATCACTATAGTAGCCACTTCTAATTTAAAAGAACAAGAGAAACAACACCAAAATCTAAGACATACAGACAAACTAACACTAAAGCCAAATCAATTTAAACCTAAACAACAATGATACATCATTAAGGCAATGAGAGTGCTCCATGGCGGAGAAGCCTGATGTGGCTGAAAGCAGGTTGGTGACCTCGCTCTGACTTGAGCATTGACTAATGCTTCCCTCTCTGTTTACACTTGAATATAACGCCAGATGTATCCATTCTACTACTGGAAATGGAGCCTTCCTAAAGGATAGGGCTAATCTAATCATTCTCTTTCAATAGCTGCCTACTTCGTACAGAATACAATTCTTATTTCCAAAGTTCTTATATACCATATGCTTTAACCAAATTGCATTATGTTCCTTTGATATATCAAGTGTTCCCTTCCTCTCAGTCTTTACTGACATGATGCTTTCTGCTTGAAATTCCTCTGCCTCATCTCTGTATCTTATATCTTATCCTTCAAGACTTCTCAGATCCACCTTTGCTTTTTCCATAAACTTATGGCGCTTTCCTTTACCTCTTTCAAGGCTCTTGACCATCTGCAATACTGAATCCTTTGCTGGTATACTTCCTGTCCCCTGCCAGGTTGAAAACTCTCTAACAGAAAGACTGTGATTTCCTTGTCTTTGTATTCCAAACAATGCTCTGCTTAAAATAAGGTGCAATTTGTTTTTATTGGTCTGTGGGCATCAATTTGTCTGTTTATCTGCACAACCTTCCCTATGTTAGATGATATGCTTATTCTAAGAAGAAACAGGTTATGTATCCTAATATGTATTGAAGGGTAGTATGGGACCACAAAAGACCCCGAATAGCCAAAGCAATCCTAAGAAAAAAGAACAAGGCTGGAGGTATCACACTCTTGACTTCATCTTGCACTACACAGCAACAATCATCAAAACAGTATGGAAAAAAAAAGAACAAAAAACAGTATGGTATTGGCAAAAAAACAACAACAAAACAAAACAGATATACAGACCAATGGAATAGAATTTAAAACCCAGAAATAAACCCACATAAATATGGACAGGTAATTTTTGACAAAGGAGCAAAAAACATACAATGGAGAAAAGACAGCCTCTTCAATAAATGGTGCTGGGAGAATTGGAAAGCCATGTGCAAAAGAATGAAATTAGACTTCCAGCTGTCACCGTGTACCAAAATTAACTCAAAATGGATCAAAGATCTAAACATAAAATCTGAAACAATAAACTGCATAGAAGAAAACATAGGTAGTAAACTTTTGGACCTTGGGTTCAAAGAGGAGTTTATGAATTTGACCTCAAAAGCAAGGGAAGTAAAAGATAAATGAATAGGACTATATCAAACTAAAAAGCTTCTGCAGAGCAAAAGAAACCATCAACAAAATAAAGAGGCAACCAACAGAATGGGAGAAGATATTTACAAACAATGCCTCCTATAAAGGGCCAATTTCCCAAATATATAAGGAACTCATACAACTCAACAACAACAAAAAAACAAACAATCCAATTAAAAAATGGGCAGAGGACCTGAATAGACATTTCTCCAAAGAGGACATACAGATGGCCAGTAGACATATGAAAAGATGCTCAACATTACTAATCATCAGAGAAATAGAAATTAAAACCACAATGAGACATCACCTCACACCAGTTAGAATGGTCATCAACAAGACAAATAATAGCAAGTGTTGGAGAGGCTGTGGAGAAAAAAGAACCCTCATACACTGTTGGCAGAAATGCAGATTGGTGCAGCCACTGGGAAAGGCAGTGTGGAGGTTCCTCAAAAAATTAAGTATAGAATTACCATGTGACCCAGAAATCCCTCTTCTGGGTGTTTATTTACCCAAAAAACCTGAAAATGTTTATTTGTAAAGATATATGTGCTCCAATGTTCACTGCAGCTTTATTTATGGCGGCCAAGACATGGAAACAACCAAAGTGTCCTTCAATAGATGATTGGATAAAGAAGATGTGGTACATATACACAATGGAATGCTACTCAGCCATAAGATGAAATAGTGATATTTGCGAAAACATGGATGGATCTTGAGATTATTATGCTAAATGAAATAAGGTAGAAAAAATTGAGAACCATATGATATCACTGATATGTTGGATATAAAACTGAAAACAAAAAAGGAACAAGACAAACAAACAAAGAAGCAAAAACTCATAGACACAGACAATTGTTTAGTGGTTACCAGAGGGTGGGAGTGGAGGGGGTGGTAGGTGATGGTGAATGGGATCAAATATGGTGATGGAAGGAGAACTGACTTGGGGTGGTGAACACACAATGTGATATATAAGATGATGCATTACAAAATTGTACACTTGAAACCTATGTAACTTAACTAACCATTGTTTCCCCAATAAACTAATAAAAAAATTAAAGAAGCAAGGGGAGGTGGGTGAGTTGTCAACTATGGCATTAGTATCTAGCATGATATTTGAAACTGAGTAGGTCCTAATTAATGTATACTAATTAGAGTTAGATTTGCTGTTATTTGACACAATTAAACCATCTGTGTCCACAGAGGACAAGGAAGTTTCTTTCCAACAGACTGTACGCACGTAAAAAAATTTCATAAGAAAAATAGATGTGGAAAGATGGGGCCCATTTATGGATGCCGGAGGAAGCCATCAAGAAAGCCCTTGGTAGCCCACTTTTTCCTAGGTCTTTCTGGAGAAACTTGAGAAATCATCTTTGGGTTCACGTTCCCACCAGTAGAGTCCCCTTCTGAATTTATGACCTTGAATATGAAGTCTTAAAAAAAATCACACATTGCAAGACATGCTGGAGCCTGGGTAGCTGTAAAGCCTCTGCCATTTATAGTGTGC